GTCTGTGGGTGTTGTATATGTGTGTGGGGGGGGGGGGGGGGGGATTCAGGGGGTTCAACTTCACTGCACCTTGAGTTTTCATCTTATATGACTCAGTATTTCTGTAGAATGGTAAGCTGCCTGAAAACAGCACACTAAGCACAAACTCTCTAGCTCCAGCTACAATCCTTGGGAATTTCTGTAAAAATTGCACTCACGAACTAAACAATTCACGTAAATAACTAGTTACTACTGCCCCTACAAGGTCAGTGATGTATATACCATATTTTCCCATGTATAAAAGCCACATTTTCCCAAATTATTTAAGTTTTCAAATTTCGGTCGTCTTATACACGGAATATGTTTAAAATATGTACGTCTGAATTCTGAGCTAAAAAAAGAGGGGTCATTTTTAGACATGTTGGCGTAATATAAACTCACTCAAACTGGTTGTATCCAGCTGTTTCTAGCTGGCTACGTAAATATTTCTACCTATATGCTCATGTTTTTTGCTATGAAAAGATCTAGGGAGTTGAGTTGAGTTAAGAATTGACATCACAGCACTCGGGGCATTCCCATGCATGCTTCGTAGCCAGCGCAGTGTTCCAATACTGATGGTAACGGTCACAATCTGGTTATATGTCCGTCTTGCCTTTCCTCTGAGTGTAGTGAGCCAGCCAGACCCTCTAAAGGTCTAGGGAATTACTGTTTAGTCTCTGTTACTAGTGCCTATTAGCCTAGTTCTATAGAAATGAAATTCGCTGCTGTATCAGAACATGTTTTGTTTCAAACATTGTCAAAAAATCAACAAAAGTTATTTTTAGGATGCAGCATAAGTAAAACAAGAAAACAAAAACTGCATACCCAAAAGCGAGCCAACATGTATACAAAGCTAAAAAGATTATATCAATTTAAAACAAAAGTAATTACTGGCACCATTAGGGCTCATAGACTTTGATGGTTGGGACACATGGAGAGATTGGCGTATAATAGACAGAGAAAAAACTACTAAATCTTTTTCTTCTTCCTCTTCTTCTCTAGTCATGTTTTGTCTTTCAGCACCAGTTTTGAAGAGGTATCGATTGCGAGCCTAGATATGTGCTAGGCATCGATTGCAAGCCTAGGTATGTGCTAGGCATCGATTGCGAGCCTAGGTATGTGCCAGGCACTGATTGCGAGCCTCGTTACGTGCTATGTAGATGCTGGTATTAACCGTGTCTGCTTGCACTGTGTCTGACAGGGCTCTCTGTTGTGCACGATCCTGTAGCAGTCTGGGCACATGTCCAACAAAAACGCACAAGAGTTAAATGGGAGCAGACCATGAGGCAGACGGTGGAGATATAATATATGGGCAGATCTATTAAAAAATGGGAGTCACCAACTAGAAAGAGGAGGAGGAAGAAGAGGAGGCGGAAGAGGAGGAGGATGAGGTAGAAGAAAAAGAAGAAAAAGAAAGATAGAGTCTCATGGTAAATAGGAGAAGGGGGAAGAAGAAGAAAAAGAAGAAGAAGAGGAAGAAGGAGGAGGAGGAAGAAAAAGAAGAAGAATAATATAATCTCATGGCAAATACTAGCAATGAATCTCAAGAGCTTAGGAAGCAGAATAAGGTTTACAAAACAAAACAAAAGGACGTTTCAACGCTGGGTCTTTCTCAACAAGAACATGAACTACAATGGCCATAACAAGGGGGAGAGTACTCCAAACACTAAGGGGGTCAACGTGAAACTATTTTTAAAAAAAGGCGGTGTGGAAGGAATGAAACAAGATAAAGGAAGGCTTTAAAAAAATTGTTGTAGAAAAATATATATTTTCAACTTTACTTGGGGGGGGGGGGGGGGGGGGGGCGCGACTATTTTTTCTAGCCTTCCTTTTTTTTTTCATTTCTTCCACATCACTTTTTTTTTTTAAAATTAGTTTCTCGTTGACCCCTTAGTGTTTGGATTACTCTCTTCCTTTGTTTTGACTGTTTTAGTTCACGTTCTTGTCGAGAAAGGCCCAGCACCGAAACATCCTTTTGTGTTGTTTTGTGCATGTTATTCTGCTTCCTGATTTTGTTAAGCTTTTCAGTCATTGTTCACTGGATCAATTACTTGGAATTAGCTTAACTGCAGTCCCCCCTATTTTTACAGCTCTAAAACTACACATCATGTCTGCTGTTAGTGTTGATTAGCCAAACGTTTTGTGCCCTAAATGAAATGTTCATGTCTAGCAGCAGCTGCCTAAAACAAATCCATGACCTTCATAGAGCGAGGCAAACAGCCTGACCACTTAACTAAAGAGACCCTTGATTGGAACATGACATGTGATGTGTCAAATCAAGTCAGATTTCACTACTGACAGTTGCGGCTGTTTGACCATTGTCAATGATTAATTTGTCTTTGAAATAATCATTACATAAACAAAGCAAACAGTTAAAAAAAAAAGGCTATACCAATGGTCATTCAAACAAGAACAGCAAATTGTGGTAAACCTGCACCTATACCTAGTCGCATTCTTCTTGGCGTTCACCAGTGTGAACTATGGCAAAAAAATTATGGTTGTTTTATCCACTTCTCGACTATTGTATTGCAGACTGTTGGTTCCTCACCTCTCAGGCAGATGCACTCACGACACCCCTGATTACTTCGGTTTTACGGTGCGCTTGTTTGGGAAAAGGAGGGTTGGGGGTGGGGGGGGGGGGAATTGAGTCGATTCTATTTTCCTCAGAATGGGACCCTAGAACTCATACACTTGTCCTTGACATAATGATGAATGATGACATAAACAAAGCAAACAACACAGAAAAGGCTCTCTACCAAGTAATAAACCTGCACCAATACCTGGTCTCACTGAACCCACATGTAAACAGTGAATCCGTCTGGAGTCGAGGGAAACCCATGAAAGGAAACTCAAGCAAAATCAACCAGGCCATGATGCAGACAACCAACAGAAGCCCAATGAAATACAGGGTGGGTCTCCAAACATTTGGAGGCTCAGGCCCTATCTTTTTAACTCTTTCAGACCCAAACATTTGGAGGCTCAGGCCCTATCTTTTTAACTCTTTCAGACCCAAACATTTGGAGGCTCAGGCCTTATCTTTTCAACTCTTTCAGACACAAACATTTGGAGGCTCAGGCACTATCTTTTTAACTCTTTCAGACCCAAACATTTGTAGGCTCAGGCCCTATCTTTTTAACTCTTTCAGACCCAAACATTTGTAGGCTCAGGCCCTATCTTTTTAACTCTTCCAGACCCAAACATTTGTAGGCTCAGGCCCTATCTTTTTAACTCTTTCAGACCCAAACATTTTTAGGCTCAGGCCCTATCTTTTTAACTCTTCCAGACCCAAACATTTGTAGGCTCAGAAGCTCTTTTTAGCTCTTTTAATCCTGAACAGTGCATTGTGTGTGGATCATCCGATTGAGTCTTAACCATCCAACAATGCATTCTCTTACATTTTAAATGTGGTCAGAGAATATAAAGAAATCTGGCTACCCAAGTGTTTAGCCCTATGTTATCTTTCATAATGTATTTCCCACTTGGGTACTGGCTACCAAATCTTCTGGTACTGAAGAAGTTGGTCTAAAGGGCAGTAAAACTTTCTGGTTCCGAAAGAGGTGAGGAGCAGTGGATTTATCTCCCCCCCCCCCCCCTTTTTTTTTTCCCAGTGGAGGACTTGAACCCGCACAAGAAGCAAAGACGGGCAGAGGAGTCTCACAGAAGGGGCCTTTTAACCAAAGTTTGGAGACCCTTGAAAAACAGAAAGCTTAGGCTACGAATAAATGCTCTGCAAAAATAAAATAAAAATCATGTAACTTACTTTCTAACAAACTACTAAGACCTAGGATAAGTGTGTCCCAGCAGTGATACTCTAACTATATTACTAGTATACTGTAAAAGTGTGATGTCTTCTTCCACTGACTTTGTTCCATTCCGACCAGATGACTAAACCACTTGATTCTTTGATGTTCTATGAAATCATTTAGCAGTACTGTGCCTACCATTGTTCTTAGTTCTTCATTGGTGACTGTTTCTTCTTGTTTACCCAACTTTAGTTTCTTATACATCTGATCTGACATGTTGTGATTTTGAGTTGATGTTTTTCCAGGGCTGTGCATGTATGGCATTGACAGGGGTCGTTTCAAAGAAAGAGGTGAAATAAAGAAAAAAGACTTTGTGTGGATGGAAAAATACTGGCTGCTTAGCCACTACCACCTTCAAGATCATGATGTTTCATGTGATTGTAACAGACTCAGAAAATATACTGAGAAAGGTGAGGACTGGCATGCTTCGTGCAGAGTTGTATAATTCACTTCGGAGGTCACAGGGAAAGAGCACTGTTTGGATCTTTTTTTTTTTATGGTGCATACCGGTGTGTTGGGAAATGAACTGGTGGACAGACTAGCTGGCTCTGCAGAACTTCAGGGAATACTGTTGCATGATAAGGAAGACGCGGTTAAGGCCTTGTGGGAGCATGTGTTACAATTCGGAGGAGCAAACTGATCATCACAGTCTAGTGAGAGTCATGTAGCCAGAAGTGATGAAGGGATATGGTCGATACTTGATGCTCAGAGAAAAGGCAAGACAGACATCTAGTCAGATTGCAACTGGCACCATCGTTATTAGAGTTCTGAGTTAGCTGCTGAAGATAGGGATGGAGGGCTGTGATATCACTCTTTGAATAAACTCAACTCATTAAAACAAATATAATGGTGTTTCTGTTCATTCTGCCTGTAATGTATCCAGTATCATTAGTTGATACTTCTTATTTGCCTGAGAGGCAAGAAACCAACAGTCTGCATTCAGAGAGCCATATCTATAAAATGGATGTGCATGCAAAACTGAAGTATTGGAATAAGACTAAATGCCAGAAGTGGACAAACAACTAGAATATTTTGCCAAAGTTAACAAACCATAGATGCTAAGTACGAGAAGAACTCGACTTTACATGTACCTTAGGCTGAAAGATCTAAAGATGACAGGCAAGCAGAAGAGAGTGAAAACATAACGTTTTAAAAGAAAAAAGTGTAAAACCAACTCACAATTTTCTTATTCCGGATTCCTTCTTAATGCCCATTTTCTCGTCGGGTTCCCTGTTGATCGGTCCATAGACCAGGACTTCCTCTCCAGAATAGGAAGATTTCCTAAAAAATGTGAAATGAAGAAAAGAATATCAAAACAGATGAAACAAATTAGGCTTTAAATAACGAGGACACAAACAATGCATTGCACTGGCATATTTCACTCTGTATTTCGCCAGATGCTTTACTAAATTTAAAAAAAAGAAAATGTTAAACCTAACCTGCGCAGTCCATGGTGACAGCACTAGCCATGCGACCCTCAATCCTCAGGCTCAAAGATCTTCGTGTCTCAACAGCAAAAATGGTAAATACAGGGAGTAATGGCAGTTTCCTGGCAGTACTTCAGTTACATCAACATACAATGAGGCACACAAACTGAACCATTTCCACAGAAATACACAAATCACATTGTCTTCTCTAGATACCATGTTCATCGTCCCCCAAGAAGCTGACGACAGTCGCATGACTAACACGGCCATTTCAAATTTATCACTTGCTGTAACTGTTTTTGCAATGCAGGACTGTTCATTTTTATTGTAATAGCCTCCGCCACTAATTTCAGTAACTGCCTGTTTGGTATGTAGTAAATAACACCAAATGCACAGTCCTACAATATTTATTGTTTGTGTCTACATTATTTAAATTACTGAAGAAGAAAAACTGTTTTAAAACTAGGTTTTAGTTTCTACAAACACAAATCATCAATATTAACTCTTTCTTTACCATGCAACTCTCTAAATATTCACTGGTTAGTTCAAAGACAGTAAACTTTTCTAACTTTCTTCTGATACAGACAGTTGTTGCATTTCTTCTTCTACTTCTTTATTCACTAGCTGTAAAGCTCCGGCAAGAAGTCCTGGTTGTTCATTCATTTGCCTCTGTGAAAGTGTGTGAGTTTTGCGTGTACATGCCTTTTACTGGCTTATTTGTGTCAACTGGTTGTTTCAGGCAGACTGTGATGAGAGCGACGTTCTCCAAAGGACCTCCTACATGATGATGATGATGGTTGTGCCAAGCTGGAATGGCAGATGCATTCCAGCTTCGAAGGAAACCTCTAATTAGTCGACTCCTAGGACATGCTTGCTGAGGAGGCAGTGGGTCTATTCTAGTTATCCCCACAATGGAGCCTTGGAACCCAGACAAGGTTGCATTAACTCATCAGTTTGTTGGTTTAGCACCTTCTGTTTAATGTGTTATTTAAACATTTTTGGATGCAAATGTCTGTGTGTTTTTTTTTCCCTGTATTTATACCTCTTTTTGGGGACAGTGGAGGTCAGGATTATGATACCCTGCCCCCCTACTCCTCCTCCAGGATCACTAACAAAATGGGCCATGGCCCTGTGGCTCATGCTGTGACACTAGGACCTCTATCACTCAGGCTTAGGGACAAATCTGATGCCAAATTCCCCCACTGCTATTTTCAGTTAATATACTCATATCCTGGCCTTCTGAACTTATGTGAAGCCATTAGCATTCACTATGCATCTCCTAAATCGTTACTGTAAATAAGTGGGGAAAAGTTATATTTATGGGGAACTGGACCAACCAGAAGTGTTGGGTCTGCGGCTGCTCGGAGCAATTGGGTTAAGCCTGAGAATGTAGGTCAGCATCTTTTGTGTGTGTCTTTCACAGAAAGAAAAAAATGTCCCACCACATTACCAAGTCTGCGAACCTGAGCTACTTAAAAATAGAAACATGTTTCCAGAATTAAAAAAAAGTTGGTTAGCTACTGACTGACACTGAAAGAGGAAGAACAAGCTTTTAATTTTTACTAAACAAATAAAAAATGAAAAAGACAATGAAACAAATAAAATATGATGAATTAAAAAAACAGACATGGAATCATAGATATGTAAAAGGAACTCAACTGTTGCAATGGGGGATATTTTCACCCAGATTAGGATGGTTGGGGGGAAGACCCAAAGCTGACCTAAAACACCGAGATAGTCCAGATACTCGGATTAAACGAGAATCTTGAGATAGGCGATGACCGCTAGTTATCATGGGTACCATGGAAATGCGACTAAAGGTCGCCACATGAAAAGTAAAGGACCACCACGTGTTGTCACGTGAAATTAACCCGTGGTATAAGTCAGACTTGACTCTGGTCAAGTTTAGTTTGTGTCGACCTGTTGGAGTGAGAGGACGTACGACTGAAAGTGAGAATGCCAACGTGAGAGTGCTTGTGGAGAAAGGAGACCCTGCCGACGAAGTGTGAAGCCGAGATCGACCATGCCAGTGTGTGAGATGGCCAGAACCTCAACGTGAAACCATGGGAGCCGACTTTAGTCTGTGAATGCTTGAAGAAAACTGCTCGCTGAAGGCTGCGTGAGTTTGTGTGCGAAAGCTGTTTACTAGGACAACGACAGGACCTCTTTTATGTAAGTGTAAATACGTCAATAAACTCATGTCTCGTAAGCTCTCGTAGGTGTCGGCTTGTGCCACTTGTATAACGTGGAGCGTGTGAGAAGAACATCCACTACACACGCATTAACACTACCTAGACAACGAGAAGAAACACAAACCACTTATTACAATGGTAATACAATGGATGGTTGGGGGGAAGACCCAAAGTTGACCTAAAACACCGAGATAGTCCAGATACTCGGATTAAACGAGAATCTTGAGATAGGTGATAACCGCTAGTTATCACGGGTACCACGGGAATGCGACTAAAGGTCGCCACGTGAAAAGTTAAGGACCACCACGTGTTATCACGTAAAATTAACCCGTGGTATAAGTCAGACTTGACTCTGGTCAAGTTTAGTTTGTGTCGACCTGTTGGAGTGAGAGGACGTATGACTGAAAGTGAGAATGCCAACGTGAGAGTGCTTGTGGAGAAAGGAGACCCTGCCGACGAAGTGTGAAGCCGAGATCGACCATGCCAGTGTGTGAGATGGCCAGAACCTCAACGTGAATCCATGGGAGCCCACTTTGGTCTGTGAATGCTTGAAGAAGACTGCGTGAGTTTGTGTGCGAGAACTGTTTACTAGGACAACGACAGGACCTCTTTTATGTAAGTGTAAATACGTCAATAAACTCATGTCTCGTAAGCTCTCATAGGTGTCGGCTTGTGCCAGTTGTGTAACATGGAGCGTGTGAGGAGAACATCCACCACACACGCATGAACACTACCTAGACAACGAGAAGAAACACACACCACTTATAACAACTGTGATGGTGGTAGATAGCATTTTAAATGTTAGTTTATATGCTCCAGGTTGCAGCTTGTGATGGTATATTCACAAATGTCAATGCTAATCGTAGGCCCATAGTTGATAACTTTCACAACATTTAATGGTCAAAAACCCCCGGGGGGAGGCAAGATGGACATACAACCAGACTGCTACTGGTTCTATAAAAACTGGAACTGCACTAGCCGCTGAAGATGAGGTCAGAGCGTTTATGGGAATATCCAAAGTGGCACGATGTCATTTCTTAACATGACTCAAATGGTCAAAAATATTCTCAACAACGAACAGTAAAATGTTAGTATAGTTAGCATTTCCAAAGCTTTTAGTAGAAAAGGGAGAAGAAAAATCAGCAAGAAAAACAAAGAAAAAGAAGAAGAAGAAGAAGAAAGGAGGAGGAGGTGTTAACAGTACTTGACCCTAACATGCACTTACTCTTCCTCTTCATCCTTAGCGTCAGGGTTAGGGTTCAGCTCATCTCTGGGTTGACAGGAGTAGTTGTGGGCAGGGCAGGAGGTAGAAGAGGAACACAAACAAAACAACAGAAATAAATATAACATAAACATGCTAAAAAAGCAAGCATAGGTAATCCTAGCTAAACTCATCTGACAAGGGCTACTTTAGCTGGCTGGTAGCATGTACGAATAGGATAAAGTGTATCAATTATAGCTCCATAATGAGATCTATTTTAGATTATTTCTTCATCTTCTTAGAATTCACCACCTGTAAACTTCAGTGCAAAGTTCTGGTTGTTTGTCCACTTCTGGATTTTGGTCTTGCTGCAGAGTTTTGCTTGCACATCCATTTTACATGATATATATGCGCAGACTGTTAGTTATTTGCCTCAGGCAGATGCATTCCAACTTCAAAAGATACACATCTAATTAGTCGACTTTTAAGACATGCTTGGGGGGTGGGAAAAGGCAATGTGTAGAGTCTTGTTCCCCCAAAATAGGGTCATGAAACCCACAGAGAAGATGCCTCACATGACATGAATAGCCTGCACTTTTTTACTTTCCTTATGGGCCCGAGCCAAACACAGGCAAGTTCATCTGAGTTAGAGCTTAACAAAATGGAGTCAGGCAGAAAGTGAAATTGTATACTGCATCACGCAAAAAAAATATGGCAAAATAAAAACAAACAAATTAATGAAACAATAAAGCAACAGAGATCAGCATACTTAAATCCAGAAGTAAAGTGTAAAGGTATTAAACAGTCAAGTGAGTTTAAGTATCTGGGAACAACATTCAGTGAAGATACACTTGATGAAGTGATTAACATAAGATGTAGTAAAATAAACCAAGCATCCGCTGTACACACTTGCCATCACTGTAACTGACTCACAGAGCATGTTAAGAAAATTGGAGACAGGCATGCTCCTTGCAGAGCGGCAAGCATCACTTCAGAGGTCCCAGGTAGTTAGCATCCTTTAATTATTCTCTCCAGGTCATGCCGGTGTGTTGGGAAATGAGCAGGCAGATAGACTGGCCCAGTTCTGCACCACTGGGTGGTGAAGTGATGTATGACAAGCTGGATGTTGTGAGGGCCCTTTGGGAGCGAGTAAATAGTGCCGAGGCAAAGATAGATCCTGCTGTCTGAGGATAATGGTAATGCGAGGAGTTACAAGGGGATCTGGGCGACTCTCAACACTCAGGGAAAAGGCGAGACGGATATCCAATCAAACAATTGCTGGTACCATCAGGATTTTAACTCTTCACTTACTGCTGAAGATGGGGACCGAGCACTTAAGGGGGTGCCCTGAGTGCTGTGATGTTAACATTCAAGTAAACCAAGTATGGGGAAAGCATAAGAAAGCCCCCTCTCAGCCCAGAGAAACATCTCATATTCATCCCAACCACATGCTACCAGTGCCAGATATGGTCATTCACAATAAACCATAAAAGAACATTAATTACCATGCAAATGAGATGTCTGAGAAAGGCTGCAGGAGTGACAGGAAAAAAAATCAATCAGAAATGAAATCATTAAAAAAAAAAGTCAGCACAGAACTAATACTAAGTTACATACAGTAGACAGCAAGTTAAATGGTTTGCCCACTTAAAGAGAAAGCCTTATGACGCCATACAATTGAAGGCATAAATTACAAGAAGAGAGGAAAGCAGATAATGAGGTAGACCATAAACAATATGGAAAGATAATATTAGAGAAACTACATTCGAGCCGGCCAGAAGAGCAAGAAGCAGAACTGTATATCTCCATCGTCATGCAAAACGGCAGAAGAGAAAGTGAAGAAGAAAAAGATCAAAATAAAACATAGAAAATAAAAACAATGTTAGCTAAAAGTCATACAAAGTGATATGTTATGACGAAATAGTCTGAAAAGTAGACATTATGATAAGCAAAATGTATCAAAACTGTTGTTTAGTGGGTGATTTATACAATCAGCTTGGTGACCTACTTGGGCTTATAGTGACCTAGTTCCTCCTCCACTTCAATGAGCCGAGTTTTTAGTTCATTCCTCTCCATCAAAACCTGCAACAAGTACAGTTATCTTGAGAGAGTTAAACTTTCTAAACCATGTCAAGTACAGTTATCTTGTGAAAGAGAGAGTTAAACTATCTTAACCTATATCAAGTATAGTTATCTTGAGAGAGTTCAAATTTCTAAACCTATGTCAAGTACAGTTATCTAGAGAGAGTTGAACTTTAAACCTGTGACTAGTACAGTTATGTAAAAAGAGTTAAACTCTTTAATCCTGCAGCAAGTACAGTTAATTTGAGAGAGTAAACTTTCTAAACACAATTATGCAACAAAACAAAACAAACAAATAGTAATATACAACTACACTAAAACTATTGACCAAAAGCAGTTCAAGACCAAGTTAAATCCCAAGTCACTGCATTGCCACCAAGTACCAAGTCATTAAAAATGTTACCATGCCGAGTCCCGAGTCAAGTCACTTCACGTAACAATTCATTTGTCATTTGCATGGAAAAATGCTTATGCATTAAACTATGTAGTCTCTTATACTACCAAAACAACAGCCAACAATTATTAGATTTCGATTTTCTACGTGAATACAAAAGGTATTACTATTTTAGTACATTTACTTTGTGCTGTTTTATCTAGATATGAAGATGTTTTTCATTGTGATTGTAATGATGTTATAAATAGGGATAATGTCAGGGGATGATTGGCATAACTGGGGAAGTCCCTGAGAGCATGGGTTTCACGGAGATATGGTGAAAAGACAGGAAAGAGTGAGTCACGTGTGAATGAGGAGATCTGGGGGATTGAGAATCAGGCGGGGATTCGGTGACTGGGCCCCAGAGAGAAAGGATGGAAAATGAAGCTGTGAAGATGAATGGAGAATGACTAGAGCATGTGGATCTGAATCGGTGAGGAATGAATGATCGAGAAGGCCAGCTGTGATGGTACCCTGTTTGATTGTCAAAGCCAGCTGTGAATATGTCAACGTCTATTGTCCGAATGCTGTAAGTGGATTCACCTGTGATTTGTGTATTAAGCTAACGTGTAAATAAACTCGTGAAATGTGCCGCTGGTGTTAACCGTTGTTAGACGTTGTGTGACCGTGAAGAGGATCATGTCTGCTTTGATTGAGTGGTGAAGCTCTAGACCTCAGAGCCAGTGTTAACTCTGCACCACAGATAGCCAGTGTGGAGGAGACACAAAAGGGCAGTCATTACAGTGATGTCCATTACCATAATTCACAGTGGCCTGCAGCAAAGAATGAGTCGTAAGAAATCATCGAAGCTACAAGTTACAAGTCGAGGGCCGAGTCGCTGGACAAACCCCCCAAGCTGTGAGCTGCAAGTCAGTAATTTCTTGCGACTCTAGTTCTGACTTCTGCTAAAAACTTCACCAATAAAATTATTCAAAGAAAGTCACATTCAGAAGGAATCTTTCTCTGCAAAGTCCAATCAATCATGAACCAGGCAACATCTTTCTTTTTGGACAATATCCTAAATATTGCCTGCTAACCCTATGGCCACGGGTTCAAATCCTCCCCAAGGCAACAATTCTGTGAAAACATCACTACAATAAAAACTAAATTTGAATAACGAATTTTCGATGTGGGTTCTTGGACCCCGTTGAAGTGGGGGGGGGGGGGGGGGGGGGGGGGGGGAAATTAATAATCAGTGCTCCTTAAAAGCATTTCATGGTTTCTTTTCTTTTTCTTAGCACTCAATAGCTATAAACTTCGATGGAAAGTTCCGGTTGTTCATCCACTCCTGGACTTAAGTCCTGATCCAAACTTGAGTTTTGTGTGCACATCCATTTTACAGATCTTGCTTATTCGAATGAAGACTGTTGGTTCCTCACTCCTCAGGCAGATGCACGCCGACTCTGAAGGAAACAGTAGCATTAACCACTTCGTATAACACACTTGTTAAGGGGGCAGTTGGTCTGTTTGCAGCTCTCAAAAATGGAGCTCTGGAACCCTTTCGGTGAATTCAGGGTTTGTTAAATTGGATGTGCTGAGCCGAAAAGTGCAGAAATCGCAGCCTACCTGTAAACTACAATCAAAGGTAGAAGAATCCTGAATTCTTTGTATTTTACCTGTCTTAGCTCCTGCAGGGTAAACCTGGGTCGGTTTGGATCCTTGAGGTCAATGACCAGCTTGCCATCAAGATCAAACCCAGTTGTGGGACTGCCTGGGCTGGTAACCTGACTACCATGGTCTGAGTCAGTTTCTATGGAAGAGCTGATTCCTTGGGTTCTGATCATTAGTGGTTTCACCGGCTGGCCATCAGCATCTTTGTTCTAGAAGACATCATTCGTCTGAGATTAGTTTGGCTGGTTTTAAAATATTCAACTCAATTGCTAAATTATAGTACTTTACGGAGATGAAACATGGAGAACAACTAAAGCAATCACAAATAAACTACAAACATTCATTAACTGTTGCCTGCACAGAGCAGAGATACATTTTAAAAAATTATATGAGAAAATCACAAATGTGAAGAGAACTAAGCAAATTCCTGTGAATCAAGAGGTGAGGAAAAGATGCTGGCACTGGAGACAACACATGAAAAGAAAGCCTGGGAACAACACATTAGAATGTGTCTTTAAAACAGAGTCCAAAGAAACACAGACATAAGAGCAGGCACACACACACAAAAAACCAATAAACCCACCTGGAGGGGGCAAATGAGAAAGGGATGAGAATGAAGAAAGAAATAATTGCAGAAAGGGTGACGAACGCCTGAGAAGAAACATGCTAAATGCATATGATGGTAACAGCAGTCCAGAAATCCCACGCTATAATTGTGGAAGATGTTTTTTTTAATGTGGACGAGTCTTGCTAGTGACACTTGCCATCACCATGGGACTCACAGCCCATGCCTCCTCATAGCACAAGACAATATGGTCTGGAAAGACGGAAAGGTGCCAACTTTCCATCATCATGAAATGATTAACAGTACATTCTTTTCGGTAAAAGTCTACCTAATCCCCCAATGTCAAAGGTCAGATTCAGTCTATTATTTCAGGTAACACGGGGTTTTCCAAAAATAGACAAGAGAGATTTCCCAGGGCAAGCGTGCGTGTTCGTCTTTGCAAGAGGGGGGGGGGGGGGTGACGCTGTTATTGGTTGGCCCGTCTTCAACTGGGAAGGGGCGAGCACTATTGTTAGTGTTGCCACTTTGGTTCCGACACCGCCACCAATCTTCTTTGTCAGTCAGGGATAACAGCATCGCATGATTATTGCGACAATGTCTGCTGCTATGGAGAATACCATGATGTTGTAGAAACCGACACAAATGTCTGTGTCAGGCACGGATGCTGCTAATTCTAAGAAATTCTTTGCGTTGAAGACGGAAGATGAAGCACACAAGTCGCTGGAGAGACGCCCTGGAAATAAATGACACACAATACAGTGTCAAAACTGGAGACGCGCCAACAGTGTTGCCACTTTTCTTTGACAGAAAATATATAGAAATGGGTCAAAAATATCTAGATTTGCGCAGAAAATATCTAGAAAAAAATATCACAAATTGCATAGCTATTGATTTGACTTGACCCTATAGAATCATGTCCTCATCTTCATTGATGTCTGTCTCATAAGATTCAGAGGGTAAACTTAACTTTGATGATGAAGTTAAAGCTTCAGATCCAAAATTACTCTGGTATGTTTTAGCTGTTCCAATTTCTTTTAATACACCAAACACAAAACAACACAGTGTGCACTTAATCGCAAATTATTCCTTACCACGACACTTAACGGCAGAAGTGGTTGACGGTGACGATGATAACAAAACACAAATGCACTGAATGGCAAATTATTCCTCCCCACAACGCTTAATGGCAGAAGTGGTTTATGATGATGACACAACACAAAACAACATACTCTGTGGGAATTTCCCCATACAAAACAACACACTCTGCGCCACACATGGTTAATATTAACTGGCTGGGTTTGCACCTGCGCAAACGTGTAGGTCAGGATATAAATAACAAAAAAACAGCATTGAGGTTCTCCTTTGTGTTAAAGAGCTTTTTTTTAAGCCAAGATGATGTTAGATGATTTCCTTATGAGGCGCAATCGTAAAGATCATGGGATCACGAGCGCATCACCTGATAGGCGTGGGTTTCTTAGGCCCCAAGGGATGTATTCAATATAATCCTTGACCCCACTCATGTCTATTGATTACTTCTTTTAAAATGTTTATTTATTTCAAAAAATAATTTTAAAATGATGATAAATAAATTGTTCGTGAATTTATTAGTGATGAGTGTACAACATTTTTTTTTCAATTCATTTTTTTATGAATCCTAATGGGGTCATTACCTATTTTTGTTTTTGTTTTAGAGTTTTCAGGATGAAATGGTTAGGTATCTAGGCACATGGAAGATCTATCATTGAGATTTTTTTTTAAACTGAATGGGACAGGATAAAAAAGCATTTTATAAAATGAAGAACATTTTATGCAATAAATCCATGTTGCTGGAGTTCAGAAGACGAATTCTTGCAAGCCAGTTTTAACATTCGGCTGTGAAAACTAAACAATTAATAAATAAACCAAACAATTTCTTGAGGCCTCGGTGATAAGGTTTTACAGAATTCTTATCATTTCTTGGACAGCCAAAAAGGCAACCCAGATTTTTTTTAATGGGTGAGAGCGCAAAGACAACTTACCACAAACCTCAGAAGAAGAGAGTCATCATTTTTTGGTCATATTATGAGAAGGAAACTGGAACATGTTGTGACCACTGGAAAGATCTTTGGAAAAGGAGACAGAGGAAGACAACAAGAGATGATTCTTGACAGGACTCCAACTTCACAGACAACACTCCTAATTAGTCACCTAATACAACATTGTTGTTAGGCTGACAGTGGGTCTTTTTTTAGAGTGTTTTGACAGGGAGGTGTGTCATGACAGGGAGGTGTGTCATGACATGGAGGTGTGTCATGACATGGAGGTATGTCATGACATGGAGGGGTGTCATACACAGAGGGTTGTCATGACATGGAGGTATGTCATTCATGACATGGAGAGGTGTCATTCATGACATGCAGGGGTGTTATGACATGGAAGGGGGTCATGACATGTAGGTGTGTCATGACATGGAGGTGTGTCATGACATGGAGGTATGTCATGACATGGAGGGGTGTCATGACATGGAGGTGTGTCATGACATGGAGGTGTGTCATGACATGGAGGTATGTTATGACATGGAGGTGTATCATGACATGGAGGTGTGTCATGACATGGAGGTGTGTTATGACATGGAGGTGTGTCATGACATGGAGGTGTGTCATGACATGGAGGTATGTCATGACATGGAGGTATGTCATGACATGAAGGTGTGTCATGACATGGAGGTGTGTCATGACATGGAGGTGTATCATGACATGGAGGTGTATCATGACATGGAGGTGTGTCATTACATGGAGGTGTATCATGACATGGAGGGGTGTCATGACCTGGAGGGGTGTCATGACCTGGAGGTGTGTCATGACCTGGAGGTGTATCATGACATGGAGGTGTGTCATGACATGGAGGTGTGTCATGACATGGAGGTGTATCATGACATGGAGGTGTGTCATGACATGGAGGGGTGTCATGCTGCTAAAGATCTCAGAATGTAGAGAAGCTGGACTGCCCAAGACCAGTCAGGACAGGCACAGGACGATCATGAGTACAAACCTCGGATTCATCTTCAACATCAATACTCCTGCCGACAGCAATGGCTTCTTTCACGGCAGCTCGCTGCTCATCGTACTTCTCCTGCTCTGAGATCAACCTCTTGATGTGCTCCACCTCGTTATCCTTGGTGTGCAGCTGCGTCTCCAGCTCCAGCTTCTCCTGCAGCAAAGCCTGCGCCTGCTTCTTCTGCGTGGAGTTCTTGCGGCGCAGGTCGGCGTTGACTTTGGCAATGCGCTCCAGCTGTGCTTGCAACTGGAGAACATTAAAAGGTTGTTTTTTTTAAACTGTATTTAGTATATGTAAACATTTTTTTGGAAGCCGTTGTGGTGTAAAGGCTAGATGCTCACCTGTGAATACAAAGGTTGTGGGTTCTAATCCCTAAAAAGCCCTACTTTAAAATAAAAAAAGACCATGGCTCCCAGCTCCTGGGAAGTAAAGGTGGACACCGTGATGTTGACCGCATCATCCACCGAGTGCTGATTGGTCAAAAAATATAGAGCTAGCACTATATGTTTAATGTGTCTAAAGGCATGGAAAGGGCACTGTATGCTCCACTTTCTAGGGAATTTTTAAAAAAGATTTTTGGAACATGGGTGGGGGGTGGAGGGAATCCCCACAGGTTCATAACATCTTTTTGGTCCCTGGATGACAGGGTTAACTCATCTGGGGACATTCAACTAAGTTTACGCCAGGGCCAAAATGGTGGAAAATAGGTACTGTTGCAGGCCTGAGGCTAGGGCCCCAGCACAGAAAGATCCTTAATAGAATACAATTAGCAGGTGATTCACAGGCCTCCATGGGCAGCATTCAGGCCGACAGCTGAATATCCCTGACCTATGACATCCTGCTCCTGTATCTAGAAAGTTAAACACATTTGGACTTTGGATTTGTGCCAGGTCCTGAGTTTTGCGTGTACATCCGTTTCACTGGCTTATTTGTGTGCAGTTGGTTGTTCCTTGCCGCTCAGGTGGATGTACTCCAGCTTCGAAGAAAGCTCCCAATCAGTCAGCTCCTACAATATTCTTGTTGGGAAGGCAGTGGGTCTATTCTTGTTTTCCCTACAATGGAGCTCAGAACTCACACAGGAATCTTCACAGTGTGAGGAAAACAGTATGATCACTTCATGAAGCAGACCTCCCATTCTCTCAGGTTTACTGCAGAATATCTCATTCCACACACATACATCCCCTTCTGTGTTTGTCCCTTTAAGGGCGACTGACCCGCTGTGTTGTGGTTTACAGCTAGGCTGTATTATCTGCACTTTTAACAAGCTAATAAATTAGTTACGTTTTATGATATCGTGCAGTGGATCTACACCCCTCCTTCCCCAACCTCCCAAAAACAGGACTACAGGATCCAAAAGGGAAATCCAAAGGTAAAGGAGAAACAATCAAGTCAATTTCTCTGACAAAAACTCACAAAGTCTAAGCATAGATAGGCCATGACAAGCACTTACAGCATCACAATCCACTCCCTTCTGCCCAAGCTCTCGCTTCATAGTCCTCAGCTCCTCTCTCTGTTTGTCCACAGTTTCTTTGAGTTTAGTCAGGATTTTTATTTCCTCTTCTTCCGTTTCTGAGGGAAAACACCATAAAGATCACTTTAAAATATTGATCTTTAAAGAACATATTTAGAACAATACAGAAATTCACTGAAAAATACAGACTTAAATTATTTGGCTACTTATTGTTCATTTCAGAAATCATCTTCATCACACACTGGACAGGACCATAAGTGCTCCGATCCCCTTCTGAGTATGTCTCCAAGTGTTTTTAGGCGCTCCCATTCTGTTCTGGTCAGTGTAATGACAGATGGCTCTCGCAAGGTTTTCCTGTCTCCCGGCTCCAATAGGTTCACCTAGGGTATGCAGTCTACTCAGTGAAAAATCATTTTCCATGTAACTGAAAGACTCACAGCTTTTAGTCTCTCATGTGGCACTGATGATGTCTCGCTTGTCCACAGATGGCCCATTTTTGATAGTCGCACTGCCAGCCAGAGCGTCTCCTCTCTTATTGAATTTCCCACCAGTATGCCCTGGGACAAAAATGAAGGTAGTTTTGCAAACTGCTATGTGCTGTATCTGTGCCTGCAAATATCTGCATGGCTTAGCCCCATGTATGAGGTCAGACAAGAATTCTGATTTTATCCATGATTCTGATGATGGGACGACACATGATGATGATGACAGCATTTTCCTATATACTCTCTCAAAATCTGTATCTTTGCCTGCAAATATCTGCATGGCTTAGCCCCATGTATGAGGTGAGACAAGAATTCTGATTTTATCCATGATTCTGATGATGGGACGACACATGATGATGATGACAGCATTTTCCTATATACTCTCTCAAAATCTGTATCTGTGCCTGCAAATATCTGCATAACTTAGCCCCATGTATGAGGTCAGACAAGAATTCTGATTTTATCCATGATTCTGATGATGGGACGACACATGATGCTGATGACAGCATTTTCCTATATACTCTCTCTGTATCTTTGAAATGTGTACTTTGTACTACTGTAGATATTATAATACCTTAGGGTTTTATTAAAGCCAAGATGACGTCAGATTTTCTCATAAGTCTCAAAGGTAAAGGGCATAGGGTCACAGCATGTCGCTTAATACGTGTGTGTTCTGTGGGCCCTATGAGGTGTATTCTATTTAATGCTTTAAAATGTCTTACTGAGTATTCTAACCGGAGTCTCTCAGATGAGACCCCAGTGATCTTAACTGTTTGGCCATCAGTGATTTCCACATGTGTTTTTAAATTTTTTTTTTTTAAAGACAATAGAATTTTTTTTAAACTGATAATTTAAAAAAATTTAAAATTCACTCAGTCCCTTCTGCTATGGCAAAGAGCCAGTAAATTCTTCTTCTTCTTCGGCGTTCTGAGGCCTTGAAGTTTATTGCTGCAGATATTACCCGCCTCCATTCATCTCTCTGGTTGGCCTTCTCTTTTCAGCTAGTGACACCAAGTGTTTGCAGGTCTGTCTGGACATTATCTCTCCATTGTCTTCTTGATCTGCCTTGTGGTCTATGACCATTCAGCTCCTTGTGTATACAGTTTTTATCTCTCTGTCATTTGACATTCTCTCAATATGCCCAAGCCATTTCAGTCAATTAGATCTCATGATACCAGTGATCAATGGTAATTTAAACAGATTATGAATTTGGCTCTTGCTTCTTCTTCTTCTTCATTTTGTTTGCTTCCTTGATGACCTGTAAATTAGTAAAGGCAAAAATCTGGAGACCATGCATTTTTTCTGTGGAAACTTATTGTTGTGAATCCTGGGCTCCTACTTAGTCACTGAAGAAAAAGTTTGGAGCTTTTAAATTAAAATGTTACAGAAGGGTTTTCAGAATACCATGGATCAAGAAGAGGAAAAACATTGACATTCTATACAAGTTAAACATCAAGGATAACTGGCTCATACACAGCATCCTGTCCCGAAAGTTGAATATTTTGGCCACATCAAACGTCACAGGGCTTGGAAAAGACGGTGATGGAGATGCAGCTTGTGGAAGGCGAGGCAGGGGGTCGACCTCAGCAAAAATGGATACAGGACAATAAAGATGCATTGGCACTGCAAGCACATGGGGCTGGAAAACTGGCTGGAGAAATGGATGCTTTCAGGCATGCCGTGAATTGAGCAATGTTCCTTAAAGGACTTGCTGAATGATGATAGTCCCTTCTCTTCTACCTTGGGGTGTAGAGAGATCGCCACGCTTCTTTATCAGCAGTTTTCTTTTTGTCTTTGTTTTATTCCAGTCCTCTGTCAGTCAGGGACTGTTAGATGTTGTCTTCCCAGTCAACTCTGGGTTGTCCTGAATGTTTTTAATGATTACATGTTTTCTATGAATATAGTTGTCCACTGGAAAGCTACTGACATGTAGTTTTAGAAAGATGATATCAAAACTGGGAAATATAAAAAGCACAATGAATCAGCATTTATTTGAGGCAGTTCATATTTTTTGTTGGGGGAGAATGGGGGTGGGGGGGTCATATCATGAAACCGAAAAGCAGGAGAATATTACAACAGGAACATATGATGTGAAGAGAAGCAGGGAGAGGCCGAAAGAAAAGATGTTGGGCAGTTTATCGTGTTTGTCAACATATAATGGGGCTCCATTTGGAGAATAAAGAACGGGCCTACTATTCTCCTAACCAGTGTTGTGCGAAGAAACTAATTAGGGTGTTTTCTGCTTGAGAGGCAAGGAGCCAAACCAGCAGTCTGCATACAAATAAGCTGGAGCTGTAAAATGGATATTCATGCAAAACTCAGGTTCAGGATCAAGACGTATACATACTCCTATGTTCTCATACATGCGAACTCATATACAGACATACATGATACATACACACATGCATCTACATACATTTACAAGCAAAAACATACACTGACATAAATGCACAAACAGAAAACACACACACATACATTTATTGATATACATGCACACACACATTCCATACATACACATCTATACATGCACCCATGCATACACACATTTACAATCCCATGTACAGACACAAGCATATGCCCAAAACGGAGCAGCAAGCTATAGAAAGCACAACGTAAAACCCCTCTAAATACTACTGTTAGTTAATTGATTCATATCCTGACCACCTATACATCTGTGCAGGCGCAAACTCAGCCAATTGCATTAACTATACATATCATAAACAGGTCAGGATAGGCAAGTAGGACAAGTGACATTTATGGGAAACTGTGCCTAACCGGAAGTGTCTGTTTTCGGCTTCTTGTGGTGAAAGGGTTGAAAGTTGTAACGACAATCTTTTATATTTATTGAAAAGGTTAAACATCGCTGATTCTGCCACATTTCTAATTATATAATGAACACAGTGAGAAACCTTTTGTAATCATATGTCAGTATGTCACAACTTTGAAATATAATTTACTGTCACATATTACTTGAAAAATATAACCCCACCTTGCCGTTTAGCCACAAACTCAGCAACCACAGCATGCTTCTCGTTGCGGGCATGATCTTTAAGTCTCTTATTCTCGTCCTGCAGCCTGTTCACAACCGAGAGCAGCTCCTTCACCTCGGACTGCCAGTTTTCTTCTATAGTTTCCAACTCCTGAAAGAGACAATTAAATCCTCATTTATCTTCTAAAGTTAACAATCATTTCAGGTTAACAATCATTTCAAGTTAACTATCATTTCAACAACAGTCACTCTATTATCATCACCTTCACTATCATTTTCATCTTCACCAAGGATTTTTCCTAGAAAACAATGGTACCAAAGCTCAGCATAATATCTTTATTTTTAAATTAAAAAAAGGTGCCGGTACTAACAACAAAGTGTCTATTGCAGTAGCGCTGAAAAAACAGGAGGCCTGAAAAAAAAAGTGGCAGGCACTGCGCACCATATCATACCTCCAGATAAAAAGCACTGATCTTGGCTAGCATCATCACTTCATTTTCAACATAATTTTCACTACGATTATTAGGAGATGTTGAAGCTTTGTGACGAGTACAGTAAACATGTGTTCCATCGAGGCACTTTTTAAAAAAAATGTGTCTTGAGTTTCTAAGTCAACTCCCTAAACATGGGTTCCAGGAAATGTTCAGGATGTTAAAAGCAACTGCTGTGATACAGAACACATCTCCGGAGCGCCAACTGGTTTTTAATTAACAATATGAAGCTGGCTCTATTTTTCCCCAGCATTGGTAGCACAGTAGCTAGGCACATACCTTCCAGGCCAAAGGTCTTGGACTCAAATCCTCATTAAACAATTTTTTTCAAAAACCAGTTTTAAACAACCTTAGCTCCCAGGTTGACCCAGCATTAAATGGGTACCAGGTATTGTGTCTTGAAGGTAAAGGCAACCATCTTCCATCGAGTGCCAATGGGTCTATAAAAATATCAGTCAAGCATCATATACCCACTACGCCACTGGCATGAAAAGGCCTTTACTTTCTTTACTTACAATTGTCCCCAATATGCCTCAAGGTGTGGAAGCTGATCCCTTCCTTGAATATTTATAAAGATTATCACCACTATCAATATCAACACTGACATTATCATCACTATCAATATAACCACTACCATAATCACCCCTACGTTTATAACCACTTTTCCCATCACCACAGTTCCCATCACCACAGTTCCCATCATCACTGTTCCCATCACCACTGTTTCCATCATCACTATTCCCATCACCAGTGTTTCCATCATCACTGTTCCCATCACCACTGTTTCCATCATCACTGTTCTTATCACCAGTGTTTCCATCATCACTGTTCTCATCATCACTGTTCCCATCACCACAGTTCCCATCACCACAGTTCCCATCACCACTGTTCCCACCACCACTGTTCCCATCACCACTGTTCCCACCACAACTGTTCCCATCACCACTGTTCCCACCACAACTGTTTCCATCATCACTGTAAGTAGAAAATCATCCTGACCCTCTGCTTACTCCCAGCTTAATGATTCCCTTGAGGTGTAGATGCTCTCTCTGTTCTATCGCCCTGTTTACTTGATCCCAGAAAGCCTTCACCACATCTGTTTTATAATAAAGTAGATCACCACTCAGAAGAGCGACAGCACCTAATTTAGCCACCTTCTCATTACCATGTAACCCGAACGACCTGGGCCCCCAAAAAAAATCCACAATATGCTTTTTATCTGAGACTTATCAAGCAATGCAAGCTACTCTGAATGCAATTTGATTGAATGATTGATTTACACAGTATCTACTGTTAAATGCATCTGAAACTTGGGCAAGCAAACTAACAAATTGCTGACAGCAGCAGAGATTGGGTTCAAATCAGAAAATGGCAAACAATACAATGGAGAGTGTTATTAAAATATAAACTAATCTTCTGAGAAACATATGACAACTTCACATTAATGATATACTTTAGATTTAAAGAGATGTGTCCCTTTGGTTATCAAGAGAAACAAAAATACCTGGTGAGAACTAGCAAACTAACCACCCCCCCCCCCCCCCCCCCGACTCCACCCCAAAGTGAAAGGAAAACAGACAGATACCTAGACTGTTTGGTTAATTGGCATAATCTAGGAATTGTGTGAGATCATTAGCAAAGTTCATCATGTTAACTAGCATGATAAATGATGATGATGATAAGGCAGGAGTTAAGTAATAATAAAATCAAGGTTGATTAACATACACCAGTTAGTAGGGACTGATGAAGAAGTTACATGGTCTCTGGGTGTCAAATTTAATTAAACATCTAATTCTAGCCCTAACCCAAACAATTAATAAACCCACTCAACTAGGCAGAGCTAAAGAAATGCTTAATTTTATTTCATTATTTTCAGCCACTTCCGAAATTACCACCTCCCATCAAGTTCGATGACTCCTGAATTCCCTATCAATTATACATTATTATTAATTACTAATTAATCTGTTAAAAAAAATCTCTCCAGCGGAAAACAACAGCGGATGTCTAATAATTAATACACAGAAAATTATAATAATCCAAGTTCAGACAGATGCAGCTGATTAATTATTATCCAACAGCGATTCATATTTTAATCTAGACAAGATCAAAACGAAACATTAAACGACAAGTTTAGTATGGGTATAGGAAATAACTAAACGACGTTCATTACCTGGTCGTATTTCGCTCTCTCCTGCGCTTTCTCCGCCTTCTCTGATTCCAATTTCTCCACCTTATATCGCAACTGATTAATTTCTTCAGCATCTCTTTCATACCTTGTGGCTAACGTCTCCAACTGTTCCAGGGATTTAATTACCCTGGGCATCAGTTCTGTCACCGAATCATTGCCAAAGTTATGGATCAGCTTGTCGAATTCATGAGCTATCCCTGCTGCCTGATCATACACGTCCGTGACGGAAATCACGTCAGTATCTTCACTGTCCATGATTATGGAATTATACATACATCGTCTGGCATCCATTGAAAATGGTGGAGGAGGAGAATTCCATGTCAGGAGAGGCAAATATATGCGGGCCGTCGATGTGTTTCAGTTTTAGCGAGCCATCGATCGCCTCCGCCATCTCACGTCTGCTGCTATCTGGCAGTCTCGTGATCTCAGAGTTATCTTTCCTGTTGCCTGCTTGTTTCTCTCCCTGGGTTTTCTCCCTTTCTCATTTCGGCCAGCAGAATATAGTCTTTGAATTCTTCCTCTTCTTCTTCGTATTTACCAGCTGTAAACTCCGGTGAAAAGTTATGGTTATTCGTCCACCTTTGGACTTGAGTCTTGTTTCAGAACCTGAGTTTTGCGTGCACACCCGTTTTACAGATCTGGCATATTTGTATTCATACTGTTGGTTCCTCACCTCTCAAACAGATGATCTCCTGTTTCAAAGGAAACTCTGTATCATACCAATATTATACTTCTCGTCCTTCTTAGGATGAAATTTTTCGTTATTTGAAGCCATACTCTGGCTTTTGCCAGGGACCGCAATATAGCCTGGCCATAAATATGGCCTAAAGTCTGAACGCGGTTTCTGGGACCTCTCCACGATGATCCTCACCCACATGGTGGCACATTGTGTCGTCGGTTGTTTATCGCTTGTGAGATGTCCTGGTGGGGTAGAAAGTCAGTCAGGAAACCCTGATGTACTTCTCGTCCTTTTCAGGGTGAAATTTTTCGTTATTTGAAGCCATACTCTGGCTTTTGCCAGGGACCACAATATAGCCTTGCCATAAATGTGGCCTAAAGTCTGAAAGCGGTTTCTGGGACCTCTCCACGGTGATCCTCACCCGCATGGTGGCACATTGTGTCATCAGGTGTTTGTCGCTTGTGTGATGTCCTGGTGGGGTAGAAAGTCGGTTCAGGTCAGGAAACCCCGAATTAGTCTACGCTTATGACAGACGTGTTAGGCTCTGTCAGTGCGTTTTAAAAGTTGCTCTTAATATTTTTTTTTACAATGATATCCTGATTTCCAATGTCGAACGCCATTTTGTTATCCTCTGTTGCCTGGGGTCCTAATATAACCCAGCCTATCAACCTAACGGTTGAACAGGGTTTCTAGGACCTGTCCTCTGGTGATCCTCATCCGAATAGTGGCACTTTGTGTCGCCGGGTGTTTATCGCTCGGTGTGATGTCCTGGTGGGGTTGAACGTCATCAGCAGTCTATATTTCTTTAATAATGCTTTTTAATATTGTCGTTCCATGTTGTGCATGGTCTTCCCTTTTCTCTGTGCTTACTTTTTTTTATATTTTTTATTTTTTATTTTTATATTATAAATTTTAATGTCTTGTTTGGTACACCTCTTACTCTCTAAAGCTGGAGCCCGATCGTGACTGGGATTCGGCCATTCTTGTCAGATAGCCAGACAATTTCATTTGTTGCTCTTTTCTTCTTTTTCTTAAAGTCCATTTCGTGTGGCGTTGGTGGTCATGTCTATCCACAAACTTCGGTCTCGTGCACTTTCAATTAACTCTGACACAGATGATTTCCATGCCATGATGTCAAACTATCCATCATCTGTTCTCTCAGTCTCACTCTGCCCCCCTCCCCTCCAACTTTTCTACTGTCACGATGTAATCCAGTTTTCTCCTTCTCATCACGTGACCAAGGAATTTTCTTGTAATGAACATTTATGAATTTGACCGGGTCTAGATGGAGTCTCTTTTTTTTAAATTCGTTTTACATGCTCTCGCCTTATTGCTTTAGCAGTTGTTGTGAGGAATGCGTTAATCACACTGGACAAGAATTATTGCAAATTGTTCTTATAGTTGTTTTATTAACTCATATGTAACCACAGATGAGATTTCAGTAGATAATGTGGAGATTGGTCTAAAGATGTGAGCAAGAGGGACATGACTGATACAGGTATTGAAGTACATTCATGGAAACAGAATGCCAAAGATCGTTTTGCGTGCAGGGGGATAATCAAGAAGGAAATGGGGATAAAAGAAAACATGATTACAGATAGGCTGAGAGTTGAACGTCTGAGAAGAAGCGTTATAAATGTATGAGATAGTAATAACAGTCCTGAAACCACTTGCTCTAACTACTGTAGACTTTTCTTAACACAGACGGGTCTTGCTTGTCACTGTTGACATCGCCACTGGCTGGGATTTCCCATGTCTTCCCGATAGCACAACCTAACCTTATCGTCTGGAAAGTTGGAAAGGTGCGAACAACGGCATCAGCCATCACAACAGGGGGCGAGGCGTCTGCTTGATAGAAGATTTCTCTTTTCCAGCAACGTTTTGACCTTTCCAGCTCTCTTCTCGGGCTTTCGGCTGAATCAAAAATGTCGACTCGCTGAAAATCACAACGCGCTGCTAACGGGAAGAACATATCGGCACAATTTTAATTAAACAAGAATAGCCTTGGTCATCTTCTGTTGGCTTGGGCATGAGTAACCTTTGGCTCAGTGGGAAGCCTGGTCGTCTTTTTGATGACCAACTTGCACTCAAAATGAACAAGAATTGTTATTTGACATTTTCATTTTTTTAACACTGGACTAGAAGAAGGGGCCCCATCTCAAGTAATTATTGTTGAAAATCCAACGCCTATTGTGTACTTTGCGCTTAATTGCATTTTCTTTTTGGAATTTGGTGTTATGTCTTGGGAAATCTTCCAGAGTTTCAGCAACTAGTACTGCTCGCCGTTGGGGTTATGTCTTGGGAAATCTTCCAGGGTTTCAGCAACTAGCACTGCTCGCCGTTGGGGTTATGTCCTGGGAAATCTTCCAGAGTTTCAGCAATTAGCACTGCTTGCCGTTGGGGTTATGTCTTGGGAAATCTTCAAGGGTTTCAGCAACTAGCACTGCTCGCCGTTGGGGTTATGTCCTGGGAAATCTTCCAGGGTTTCAGCAACTAGCACTGCTTGCCGTTGGGTTTATGTCTTGGGAAATCTTCAAGAGTTTCAGCAACCAGCACTGCTTGCCGTTTGGATTATGTTTTGGGAAATCTTCAAGGGTTTCAGCAACTAGCACTGCTCGCCGTTGGGGTTATGTCTTGGGAAATCTTCAGGGTTTCAGCAACTAGCACTGCTCGCCGTTGGGGTTATGTCCTGGGAAATCTTCCAGGGTTTCAGCAACTAGCACTGCTTGCCGTTGGGTTTATGTCTTGGGAAATCTTCAAGAGTTTCAGCAATCAGCACTGCTTGCCGTTTGGGTTATGTTCTGGGTTCTTCAACTATCTTCGCCGTTGGGGTTATGTCTTGTGAAATCTTCCAGAGTTTCAGCAATTAGCACTGCTTGCCGTTGTGGTTATGTCTTGGGAAATCTTCCAGAGTTTCAGCAATCAGCACTGCTTGCCGTTTGGGTTGTGTTCTGGGAAATCTTCAAAGGTTTCAGCAACTAGCACTGCTCGCCGTTGGGGCTATGTCCTGGGAAATCTTTCAGAGTTTAAGCAACTAGCACTGCTTGCCGTTGGGGTTTATGTCTTGGGATATCTTCCAGAGTTCTAGCAATTAGCTCTGCTCTTCGTTGGGGTAGGGGATGTCACGTTTTCAAATCTCCACGGAAGCGATTTATTATTAGGAAATTCAAGTGGAATTAGCGCCCTCGACAACAGACCGGAGAAGGGCAATAAAATAACGAAAAATTACGTCCTATGTCGGGGTGCCAGCAGATACAATGAAATGATATGTAAAACAAAGGAGTCTGATTGTTCTACAAAAAAGCTGAACTATAACCACAGCCCCATTCGTTTTCCTAATATATCTTGAAAGATTGTCGCATTCGTGATCCCCACTCCCCCTCCACTTGCGCAGCCATATTTATGGCTTCTCTAATATGCTGTGTCCAGCGATATCTTGATCGAAATCTGCTCAACTTATATAAACAATGCCATGAGTTGCTGTTCTTTATTTATATACCCCTATGACGTTAATACGTTGTAGAGCCTAAATTATTTCCCTGTGCGAAACCTTGCATGAACCGTTGAGGCATTATCGATTATGGCGTCGGCTGAACACGAAGCGAACCCAGGATAAAAGGCAGCCGCTGTTAACGGACATTAAAGACAGACCATTAGAGTAGAAATTTGGTTTGATAACGTCTAGTGACAGACAGACAGACAGACAGACAGACCATTAGAGTAGAAATTTTGTTTGATAACGTCTAGTGACAGACAGACAGACAGACCATTAGAGTAGAAATTTGGTTTGATAACGTCTAGTGACAGACAGACAGACAGACAGACCATTAGAGTAGAAATTTGGTTTGATAACGTCTAGTGACAGACAGACAGACAGACCATTAGAGTAGAAATTTGGTTTGATAACGTCTAGTGACAGACAGACAGACAGACCATTAGAGTAGAAATTTGGTTTGATAACGTCTAGTGACAGACAGACAGACAGACAGACAGACAGACAGACAGACAGACAGACAGACCATTAGAGTAGAAATTTGGAACATTTGATAAAACGTCAGACACAGACAGACAGACCCCATTAGAGTAGAAATTTGGTTTGATAAACGTCTAGTGACAGACAGACAGACAGAGATTCAGAGAGTAGATATTTCGATAGATAACCGATCCTAGATACGACAGACCAGATAGATAGACATTTAGAGTAAGATAGATGAGACAGACCCGATTCCGAGTACAGGCATGCAGAACCCTACAGATAGATAGATAGATAGCTTTAGAATAATAGATATATAGATGATATAGGATAGATAGATAGAAGACAGATAGATAGATAGATAGATAGGCAGGCAGGCAGGCATGCAGAGAGATAGATAGATAGATAGATAGATAGATAGATAGATAATAGATAGAGAGATAGATAGATAGATAGATAGATAGATAGATAGATAGATAGATAGATAGATAGATAGATAGATAGAATAGATAGATAGATAGATAGATAAGATAGATAGATAGATAGATAGATAGACGATAGATAGATAGATAGATAGATAGATAGATAGATCGATAGATAGATAATAGTAGATGATAGATAGATATCGATAGATAGATA